GCCTAGTTTTTATTGGTAGAGTGTCGTTTTTCGTTGTTCGACGTTGACGTCCAGGTTTAGGTTCAGGTCGAGATGGCAGCCGGCCGTCCGTGTTTACCCTTTCCGGGCAGATGCGAGCACTCCACCAGATTGCCTGTACACTGATTATATTGAGGGTGCGACAGGGGCGAGAGGAAGCTTTACTGAGATCTAGTCAAGTTGGTCTAACTCAACGGGTATGTGCGGATTTGACAAGTAAATAACAAGTTTACAGAAGGACGCATGTCCGGCGAAGCTACGCAGTATTAGTTATCATCTCCCCCCCCCCCCCCAAAAAAAAAAGGGCTGTTAACGATGTGTTGGGTTAAGTCGGGGAAGCCCTGAAAGCGCGGGAGGATGGACGTCTACTGCAACGATTCACTTAATTGAATCAAAAAATAAAAAGTCTAAAAGACGTCTGGTCATGATATATTCAAATGATGATGATCCGAAAGGGCTGTTCGTACAACAACTAGTTTCTGTTTAGCTATACAACTTACTATATCGTTATATCCTACCATTGATCTGGAGATAGGCATTTTACGTAGTAAAGTATTCGAAACCCATTTAGTAATTAAATAAGACGCATATATTGTCCATTATAACTCGCAGGCTTATACGTTGAGAGATATAATACGTATTAACTATATCTATATAATATAAGAACTGTTTGATGGTAGTCGCTTTCGTGTAACTGTATTACAAGAAATTCTATGATACTTATGAAGGCCATTGAAAACCCCGCGCGAGCAGTTACTTCAATGACCGACAGAAGTTGACATTACAGCATACGTTGTCCTTTGTTTGCACTTTTCGCTTAGTCGGGACGGGAAAATGCTTCTGTTCCACCGATCCGACGTGCTCACAGGACCACAATTCAGCTCGAGCATGGCTCAGCGTATAACATTCCTCCTCCTCTCTGTGACTTCATGTAAATATCGTTCGTCTTCGTTGGGGGCTGATTGCGGGTCGGATATTCTTTGTTTGCTTTCTTTATTCAACACAGCGTAGTCGAGGTCGGAATCAGTCGAGTTTCGCCCATCGGTCAACCTGTACTTCGCGTTATCACCACTATGGCCGTCCGTGTCCATCGACCTCTATCTTTCTCTCTAACTGATGACCTAATCGCGTCACGGAAGCCACCGATTCTCAAGATAACTTAATATGCCGCCACCTAAGCCACACTGTAGGTGACATTGCGACCGCTGCCGCAACAGCCGTCAGACTACCCATCGAATGAGGGCAGATCCGCCGCGCATTTGTGGCTATCTTCACTTATCGCTGAAGGTTTTGTCGTTATTGCTGTTGACGTTGTTGTTGGTTCTGGTCAATCGCCGGCGTTCCTTCGCCGGCGGTCAGCGTCTTCCGCTTCTCGTCGGTGTCACGCTAACGTCAGAACTATCGAACGAAGAAAACGATATTGACGAAGATCTCGACGGAAGAGTGTGCAGCTCCCTGCTCGACCTTGGCGTACTTTAGACGAGCGCTGCTCGACGAACATTTTCGACGGCAAAAAACGAGGACGAACCTGCAGCAAGTCGACCAACGGGAATAGTAGAGGCTGAAGTCAGGGGTGCCCCCAGCTTTCAGTCTTTCTACAGGCAGCATATGGCATCCCTTTTTCTACGAGTACCGAGTCGGCCTGTCTTACCGCCATCATCGTCTTTTCTCTATCCCGTCCTTTTCCGTTCGACGGCGGTTCTTGGTGAGGCGACAGCCCTCTTTAAATATCGGATATTTTTTACAGAACTCCCATCTTCTCGACCAGTCGTTGCTTCACTCTCTAGCTTAGCTGCTTCTTGACTAACTGGTCTTATAGATCATGAGGACAGCTGTTTTTTAACACTACTCGGTCAGGTCTTCGTTTCGCTTCTTAAGACGGTGCTAGTAATAATGATATTAATAACAAGAGCCACAACAATATAAAGGCCGAACGAAGATTTAAAAGATGTCATACGGCGTACGACACTTCATACGACATAATGGTTCTAAGCGCTGCAAAAGTAAGGTACCTTTACGGAACCAAACTATCAGTATCCCTTAACAACAGAACGTGCTGAAGGTACCCATAAACATCGTCGACGACGAACGTCGTAGAAGTATTAGCTTTGCCACAACAGCTTTCAATCTGTTCCGTTGCATGGCACAGGCCGATGTCTGGAGCGACCTCATTAGCTATGCTCCGCACAGTGTTTGCTCGCCACCTGCACGCGCTGTGGACAGTATTTAACATAGAGGAGGTTTCGTTCACTTCGGGTAAGGCCACTGCGCTAGGAAGAATAAGATAGGCGACTTGGTAAGCGAAATCAGGCCAGCGAATCAAGAAGCTCACAAAATACGAACCGGCCGACGATCATCCAAATTAAAAAGAAAGGGAATAAAAAAAATGTTCTTGCTGTTTGGTAATGCTAAAGGCTAACAATTTGAGACTGGACGCCTTCATATCGTTTCTGTTAAATTCAGCTTTGTTAAGCTAACTTTGACTAATTTAACAAAAGCTGGATTCAACGAAATATAAAATTCACTCCTTTTCATGTATGATCACTCTACCTTGATATCTGCAGCATTCCTTACCCGTTGCACTGTGCTAGCATGAAAGACTGCTTTTCAACTTTTCTCAGTATGTTTTGTTAGCTAGACTATTGGTTTAGGCCCTTTAAAAATGCCCTCGGCAATAGCTCACCCGGTGCGTACCAGCGATATGCCTCTGGGTTTGCTTGCTTATCGCGCAGGTTGCGGCGACAATAGCTACGTAGATTGGAACAGGTTGTTAGATCAGCAAGTCATGAGGTCCGGGCTTTGGTTCTAAGAGGTGAATCGTAGGGTGCGTGACAATCGGCCCTTTTCGCTCTCCTCATAACCTCCCGTCCTTTCGATACCCCTGCATTCCTTTAGCCATCTGGCATTCTGTTTCTTCTGCATCCCCTCTTCGAGATCACATCATTGGGAGAATAACAACAACAAAAACGATAGCAACCTGCCGGCGACTTGGCAGGCGCCAGGACAGTAGGACCAAGCAACTAATCTAGTCTAGGTCATTGCTATGAACACGCTTGACTTGCAATCGTCCTCTCATTCGTTAGGTCTTTGGTTGCTTACTGGAGTTCGCAATTGCCCCAGAATTGCGTGCGCGAATCTTCACTGAAAAATAGAGGGGGACAGTGCAAGTTTCAATCGTTATTCGGTGACAGAATAAATAGACAGCTTGGGGGCGCAAACGCCAGAAGTGTTTGAGAAATGCTGAAAGCTTCAAGCCGAACGTCTGCTTGTCTAGCTGCCGGCAAGCCGTCAGGTCTATCCACCGACAAAGCCCTATCGCGGATTTGGCTGTCTTAATGCTATCGGTCTCGTGCATCTCGCACATCGATCTCGAACTCATCGGCCCCGAGGTATCCAGTAACTGATTGCAGTGGGTTGAATGGCGATTGTGGCCATGTGTCTGCGTGTTGAGTACAACAACGGCATTGCGAGATCTGGGTAGACATGAAATCACAAGCAACATATGCTGAGTTGTCTCCCCCTTGGCACCGTTGTTGTTTCAACTGCTACTGCTATTGTTATTATTATTGCTACTGTAGCATGTAGAAACACCCCCTGGATGTTTCATTACCGGTTTATAATTGAGGGCGCAGACGGAATCAAGGTCTAAACGCAGGCAGATTACGCCCAACACCAAGCGAAGGTCGGCTAGTGTGAAAAACTGTATAAACATATCAGAATGGCTACGTCCAGCGCAGACGCGTTCTCTTTTGCTTTATTGTATAATAGATAACGGCTACAATCGATTCTGTATTTGTTGTCGTTGTTGATGGCTAACGAACACCGATGGGTCTGTGTAAATAAGTCATTTATTCGAGTCGAACTTGGCAAATTTATTGATGTCATAAACGGACTTCAGATCGTTGAGACTTTGGTATTCCCGCACTTTTGATTGCTTTAATGCTGCTGCTATTCTAATCCCTATACTACGAGTGAGTTTCCGGACGTAAACGCCTTAAGAAAATTTTTCGCGCCCTAAAGTTAAATGAATTAATAGGCAAGGTTGATATACGTATATCTTAAATTGAAATCGCTTTCGAATTTCACGAACCCCCGCCGCCTTTTTTCATTCAATGAAGAATCATTCTACCTACAATGGTTGGAGTAGTATTTCAGTCTCGTTGATACGTTAACGAAACGTCTGATAACACCCCAAACGTGGCTCATTTTCGTGGTGAAATCTGGCTGTAATAGCTACACCTCGCTTCCCGCTGTGCAGTTCCGTATTGCACCAGAGTAATAGTTATTGTAATAGTACGTCTATAGCCAGAATCCTAATAGAAATTCCACATGCTGTCGTTTAGCAAAAGTCCCGAGGTTCACCCGGTCGTAAAACTCATCTTGCGTTGAACTTAAACAGCGTCAGTTCACCGTCTGTAGACGACCGTCATTTCATAGAGACTCAGTGTTTGGCATGAATGATTCCGCATAGCAAAAGACGGAGAAATTTCGATTAGCAGTTCTGGGAAATCAATGTTAAGGTGTTGCATAGAAATACATTGATTAAAACAGTTATTATGAAATGCCCACCAAACACGCAGTTCAACATGCTTTTCTCAGCCAACGATATCGGCATCAGAGCGAACGCGATGAACGCGACGTATAGTTAAGGAATAGTATACTCTGATACAACGTACTGCCCAGTTAGCAGAAACGTAAACTGAGCTTGCTTTAAATCCGCTAAAAAAAAAAACTAAATTCCGATAAAAGCAATTTATTTGTTTGTCAGATTAAAAACATTTATTTTTTATGTATGATTATGTCTTCGTATATGAGGAATCAGGTGCGACAAAACAGGCTGAAAGCAGACAGGTGTGAATCCACAATTAGAAAAAAACTGCGTCTCCAGCCCTAGAGAAAAAGGACTGGCACTTGAAGAAGCATCTATAATCAAATGTGTCTAACAACTTTGTCTATGTTTTTGTTTGTGTTTAATTACTTAGAATCAAGTTTTATACATTACGCCGCCTCACTATTGGCGGCCGCATGCGTTGCTGCTGCTGTCAAAGGGTTTCACTGGTCACGGAGTCTCATCTACCCGGCTCATCACCATGACGAAATGATACTAAGCTTGTCGCAGCTTACAACCCAGAAACCCGTGAGTGAAAATATTTAGGTTCATTTTTTTTGGACTTGTGTAACGTATTCATGGTTTTGTCAAACTTAAAAGATAGTTAAAGGCTGTATCCATAAATAATAACACTTCAGGTATATATGTCTAACGTAAACTAAATTCGACCAAACGGCCAATATAATTTCCCAACAGTTCTGCTACTCGAGTCCAATTTATCGTACTTCTACTCTCGTTTTTAGGAGAGGATCGTTCGCTGTTTGATGGATATTGACATGTTGGCGACCGCTTCGAGTTACCAGTGTTCGAATATGGCGCCCAAAGCATCTCCCCCGAAGGCGTCGGGTGGACTATCGCCATCTAGCGGTGGTTTTACCACCGCTTCGGCTGATGGTGCTACAGCAACCAAATCCGTTGATTGTACAACTCCTACCAATACAGAGCCTGGACATAAGTTCCAGCCCGAAACTCCAACTGACGTACAAGATGTCGACTTTTAAACCTAGAGATTCAGCTACGTCGGAATCGACCGGGCAAGACCAGGATATTTTATTGCGAAGTGAAGCTACACCTAACACTCAAGGGACACAAAATCAAAGGCAACTTCTCTCATAATACCGGTTGAATCTCCAAAGACGCCAATTTATAGGATCTGCAATGCCAACAAACCAGTTTCGGAGTTTTTATGGATTTCGTCATCAACTTCACAGACATCAGTAAAGAAAGTTGTGATTTGGTCGATAAGCCACGTCATACGACGAAATTACTGTCCGCCAATTTAGACAGCTCAAGATATTAAGACGTAGAAGCGGAAATTATGTCTGATTGGATCGATGGAAAAGGTCCATTGTTTTTGAACAGCTATGAAAAGTTGTTTAGAAGAAAATTATTTTAAATAGACTAAACTATCTCATAATTTTTTCCTGTAAATTACGATCAGTAAGAAATGACTCAGTAAATTAAGCAATTGAGCCATTAAAAAATTGATTCTGAAGTAGCGTCTTATTATCTACCAAACACAAATGATTGCTCAAAAAGCTTTCCTCAGCAAAACAATTTTTTTTTAGGCGAATTCTCTTGAAAAGGTCTTCGTTTTTTGTCAACAAGACAATGCGAGTAGTGATGACAGTCGAAAAAATGCAGTATTATTTTTATAACTATTTAAAATTAAATATCATCCTTAACTATAATTATTATCAGTGAAGTGTTTTTACACATTAATTGATGTAAAGGAGAGACTATGATGAAGAGGTAATATATTCTCTATTCTGTAACGAGCAAAATGTTAGAAGTATCAGAAAATCGCTATGTTTATTATTATTATTATTATTATACACTGTTGTGACCCTGAACCGTAATAACTATAATATGGAGATACCTATAAACCTATTTTGTACCTACCCACATGTTAACATCCACGTTGTAGGACAACGTTCGGTCCTGCGGGAGACCTATGTATGGTACAAGTGTAGAGTGATCCAGCGAGCCATTGCCATTTGTCGAACATAACGGAGAAGCAAATAAGCGAACAAACGAAAGAAAATATATAATGAGAAAAAAAGTATTATGAGTTGTGGTCAGGATGCGTTTCTTGATACGATTGTTAATAATACCATGACATGTCTATTGTACTGTGTTATTCACGGTTAACTAGATAGAACGTTGACAAATTAGAAACACAGCTGTTCTGCTAGACACGTGTACCCAAGATCATCGTTACTTTCATCGCTAGCATTATCCGTCTGTAGACACCCCCATCTGTTTAACTACGCAAATGGAGTTTGGCCCATTTTTGTACATGTGAAATCTATTGTCACAGTATAAAATGTCCTCTGTGTATACGACAGAAGTGCTACATGCTCGTAGATTCGATACTAATTGCCTCCTGTGCTTCGGTGGACACCTGAAGGAGGCGTCTACGCTCAGGAGAACCCACATCCGCATTATCTAGAGACTATATTTATTTTCCGCGCGTGTGTGAACATTATTGAAGAGATGCCCCGTGAATGTGCGCAAACATTGCCAATAATATACACAGTACAAACAAATGAAAAAGGAACGCCATCGGTGACCACGATAATCAGTTGTCTACCGAAAACGG